GCCGTTTATACAAGTGATTGTCTTATACAGGTGGCTGTTAGAGCCCATTCGAATGTAATTAATTGTTTTTTCTCGCGAGAGACCTGAATGCGCGATTTTTGCGATTTTTAAAGAGAGTCGTTAGCGAAATTTTAATGTTAATAGGACCACCATTACATTGAAAACACAAGATGTTAGGGACTTAAATCGCAAATTCAAAGGGTTTGCGAGCAAAGAATTTGGAAAATGCGAAAAAAAACCTCTAAAAACAAACAAACAAAAACCAAAAGCACACTGAAGAAACCTGTGTGCCATAATATCAGTAATTAATTAAACAGATAGATCTATTTCAGGAAGATTGAACCACTGATACTCAAGCAGTTTTACAGAAGGTAGTTAGACCATTGTAGCGGACTAAAATATTCTCGAGACTTGAAACGTATACACTTTTTGGGGGAGTTAAAAGTTCAGATGTGGAAAGACAATGCAGTGAAGTCCGCTTGAACTGAAATCTGCAGAACCGCCAGATTTTTTTTTCTCCTCCGGGTAAGCCACATTTTCGGTTTCGAGGGGTTGATTAAATTGAGTTACAAAATCGAGGCTCATATTTTCTTTCGGTTTACCGCTTTAAAAAAATCAATCGTATTCGGGTTACACGGTTAAAAACTGTAATACTATCAAGTCCGTACGATGGTTTGGCTCCTGTATAGCCCTGTCCTGCAGTGACCATGTTCGGTTTGAGGAGGGTTCCCTCTAGGTACACGTGGTGATCGGCCAGAGCTTTGTAGACGAACGCTAGGACTTCCTCCGTTACCTAGATGAGAAGAGTAGGATTGGTAGAGTTCGATGGAGGCTTGTTGACCGCAGATTATGACACCCCGGCCCCTATTCCCTTTTCAGAAAAATATTTGAATCTGTCTGAGTCGATCTACCATTGTGAACAGTAGAATTGTCGCCTTAGACAGGCGGTCCTCTCGGACAGTGTACTTATGTTAAAGACAAAAACGCAAGAGGGTGAGAGGGAAATGATCGTTGGATCAGGTTCGACTATTGGTCCAGTATCACTTGATTAAAGGGCGGGGCATCCGCGCTGACCTTCATTTTCAACTGGTTGTGATGGGAAGTCATTGAAGCATTCTCACAGGGAAGGAGATTCCAGATGTCTTCTTTGGGATATAAACATTAAGCACTAGTCCCCTGCTCTTAGTTTAGGTAAGAAGAGCACCTTTACACAATAATCTCGTCTGATGTATGTGTGCAAATGTACATGGGGAGGGGGGGGGGGGGGGAGACAAACAAAGTCAGTAGAATAAGAGTAAAGCCGTAGAACCTTCCAGTTGCGGCCTCAAAGCGCACGTCTCAAGACTTTACAGTCGAAATCTTAAGAATTAGGCCGCTTTCAAACGGACCATGCTGTGGCGCCACTGTGTGGCTGGTTCTCACCATTGAGTGACACCACTGTGTGGCTGGCTCTCACCCCTGAGTGGCACCACTGTGTGGCTGGCCCCAGGGGCGAAGCGTCTATATAATCAAATAATCACTGCTTCCCTTCCTAATTTTGAAACATTGTCGCTGTCAAATTCATCCTTAAACGTAAACCTCTTAAATTAAAAGTAAAAAGAGGTTCGTAATCCACAATGAGTATGCCTAACATTCAAAACGGTTTCACGGCCACATAAATAGCCTCCTCACCCCTCTCGGGCCACTCCATAAGCTGTCGCAAGCTTTGATTAAGTAAGCTTAAAGTGAGGCTGGAAGAGTCAACCAATACAGTTGAGGGAACATGTGCATAGCAGTCATGGCTGTTTCATTGCCACATATACCCTGTTCACCTCTTTGGGGACACAGTTATAATCAATCCCAAGCCCTGATTAAGTAAGCTAACGAACACTGGTCGAGTCTACCTCACAAATGTGAGGGGAACTAACTCCTAACAATCTCTTTACTGCTGCATGTGCTTGTTTTTTTTCCTCGACTTTTCACTGTCCTATAATCAGATCGTGACCTCGATTATGACACCAGCTCCTGGCCGCGAAAGGCTAACAAAAACAGCCAAATGTGAAATTTAAAAAATGATACTTGTCATGTTCTACCTAAGAGTTAGACTCTCTGGTAGGTCTATAACATATAGATCTAGTACTGACATCTCTGCTTCTTTGCTTTGTGTTTATGTATTCACATCTAAAGTTAATTTAATTTTAGTTGGAACTGATATTTAATAAGATACTTTCCCGATTATTTTGGCGGTTGAACATACAATATGAATTCCGGATTTGTTTTCATTCACAACTCAGAGTCGCCGCCTCGAGTAAGATTCTTCGGTGATATCTACAGGCCATATAGATCTATATCTGGTCCCGTTTCACTTTGATTACCCTGTCAAACAAGTCAGCCTTCGCCCCTGTTGGCTCTGACCCCTGAGTGACACCACTGTGTGGCTGGCTCTCACCCCTGAGTGACACCACTGTGTCGCTGGCTCTCACCCCTGGGTGGCACCACTGTGTGGCTTGCTCTCACCCCTGAGTGACAACACTGTGTGGCTGGCTCTCACCCCTGAGTGACACCACTGTGTGGCTGGCTCTCACCCCTGAGTGGCACCACTGTGTGGCTGGCTCTCACCGCTGAGTGGCACCACTGTGTGGCTGGCTCTCACCCCTGAGTGTCACCACTGTGCGGCTGGTTCTCACCCCTGAGTGGCGCCACTGTGCGGCTGGTTCTCACCCCTGAGTGGCACCACAGCGTGGTCCGCACAAACTCTGAGTGCACTGACGAATGAACAACGCGCCACTGAATGGCTCTCGTGGCCTAGAGGTTAAAGTGTTGGCCTCTCATTCAAAGGTCCCGGGTTCGAATCCGGGTAGCGACCAAAAAATTTTCTTCTCTAAAATGGTCTCCTTTCACCTCCTTTCTTGCTCTCAAGCAATGTTCTGTTGTCTGCTTTCATTTCCACTTTCTGCCCCCACCCCCTCACCTCCTTTGCCCCGCCCTCCTCTGGGCTCCCGACTCTTTCTGCAGCCTTTCTACTGCTACTCCTTGGCTCCTCCTTACTGCTGTCTTTCTGCCACACCCCTGATCTTCTGGTAGGAAAGATCTACACCTAGCCCTCTCGGACAAGTGCGAAAAATCTCGGAGGGCCCGTGTGCAAGTTGCGCACGTTAAAGATCCCTTGGTGGTTTAAAATCGATAAGAGTAGGCTTCGGCCGCCACCCGGGCAAAATTCAAAATTTCCTACCAACTGAAAATATTAGGTGTGTCCCGCGCGCTCATATAACCTATGCATTTGCGAGCGCCGTAAAACACTTTACAAAAACAAAAACTGAATGGCCCGTGTGAATGACTAGGAGCGACTCAGTGGCGCCACTCTGTGGTGGGAACCCGCCACCCCCTGCTACAGACCCGCGACATAGTCGTTCGTGTGAATGGGCTACAAATAAAACAGTGGAAAATGCTGTCCGCCACAGCGTGGTTCGTGTGAAAGCGCTCTAGATGCCAAAGAAATGTATAAACACTCTTGTAATGCAGAGAAGAACAAGAAGACATTCTCAGAGAGAGAGAGAGAGAGAGAGAGAGAGAGAGAGAGAGAGAGAGAGAGAGAGAGAGAGAGAGAGAGAGAGAGAGAGAGAGAGAAAGAGAGAGAGAAAGAGAGAGACAGACAGACAGACAGACAGACAGACAGACAGACAGACAGACAGACAGACAGACAGACAGACAGACAGACAGACAGACAGACAGACAGACAGACAGACAGACAGGGGAGATAGATAGATAGATAGATAGATAGATAGATATATAGATGGATAGATAGAAAAGAGGGAGATACACAGAGATAAGGAAAGGGTTGGGGGATTGGGGGGGGGGGGGGGCAGTTCCTGTTCGTAGAAATTAAGATAAACTCAAATAGATATCGTCTGACACGTAGGTCTACTGCAAAAGAAGACGTCTGACCTATGCCCCCCCTACACACACATGCGCGTGTTGAACTTCCAACTTGACTATCTAATATTACTAATAGTAACAATACACGCATCTGTTTGAGTTTAAAACATATTAACATTATTAATAACTTTTCACTTATGATAATATTATATTTTTCTAAGCACTCGCTTGGGCTCACTCAGCCCTGACCCCTAGATAGTCGGGTGGGGCACTCCTGTATTGGGTCCGACCCCGACAGTATCGGGACACACATCCAATGAGAACAGACTATACTTTATACGTGACCCTTGGCCATTTTAAAAATAAGACATAGACTATTACAAGGGCAAAGGTCGCTTACTGGACTACAATTGAAAATAACTTAGCACGTGGTTTCGAGGTGGGAAAGCGGAACGAGTCTTGGTCTGTTTTTCCGAGCTACTTTTTCGTGCTTGTTGCTTACCTTTTTCAAATGGCAATATCTAACAGACTATCAAATATTTTCAAAGTCTCGAAAAGTAATAGACCCTGTAATCGTTTAACAATTTGTTCGTGAAATATCACGGCGACTGGACGTAATTTAGTATTTTTTCCTGATTTTACAAAAAACCCCAAAAACCTCAAAGCACAGCCAGCAGACCGGGTCCTTGGCCCAGGACTGGGTGAGCTCCAGCCAAAAACGAGGACATGGATGAACGATTGGTGAAAGACTTTTATTCATAAACAAACGATCCTGTAATAGTATGACTCACCCTCTGCGACATGCCCAAGTCATGTGTGCCATCAGGCAAAACTTCCGGTTCTACAATGGGGACCAGACCAGCCTGCTGGCAAATAGACGCGTACCTGGCCAGCACATTAGCGTTCTCCAGCATGGCCTGTTGAGATATTTTCACTAATTGTGTTAATTTTTTGTTTTCGCAAGAGTTTTACGGCACTTGCAACACAATAAGGTCGTATTAGTGACTAAAATTAAGGATGTTACAAGGGAGTAGCAAACACAAAAAAGAAGGGAAAAAATGAGGACGATAGATGTTTGATAGGAAAGAAGGAGCAAACTACACCAGAGCACCCGCCAACCACCTACCCTATAAAGAAAGAAACGAGGAGAGTAAATACATAAATAAAAACATAAACAAACAAACCAACGAACATTAAACAAACAAATAAACAAGCAAGCAGAGAAACAAACAAACGCAACAACAAACTGTGCGTAGATGTAATACAAATCTCGGATGGAACCTGAACGGACAGAAATTATAACAGAGACCTAACAAGGACTTTTCTCCTCTAGCACTGCAGGGCAGCGGTTATAAAGACAGCATAGACAATCTGATGTGGAAATTTTGATTTTTCTATATTTAATCATTCGTAATTAAATTGACCAAAATCTTTTTTTTTTTTTTGGATCAGGTTGGCAATCTTAATTTTTTGTTAATGTTGTGAATGTTTTCCACATTTTCATTTTGTTTTTTATTATGGTTTGTTATGTTTGAAAGGAAGTTTTAGTACAAAGTTCTAAAGAATGACTTGATTACATTTTTCAGCTACAGAACGACAAGTGGTCTGAATAGTTAGTTATGATAATTAGTTGACACAAAAACAAGGTAACCAATTTGTAACTGCCCCGTCTCTAAGAAGGATCATAATAATATTATGAATAAATGAATAAATAGATTGAATTGGAAAATGAATAATGCAGACAAAAATGAATACATTTAAACAAATAGAATACAGGAAGCTATGTGGTCACTTTAAAAAAAGGAATGCCACACCAGATAGGAAGGCGTGTACTGCGTTATCTTCAGAACACATCTCCATTTGGCAAAATGGCAGCCCATCCGTTTGTACTCGTCGCATCTCTCCTTGAGGCCGTCCAACCCCGTCGTGGTACACTCGTTGATGGTTCCCGCCAGAGGCACCACGCCTTTGTCCACCTGCCACGTCACGTAGGTCAGAGGTGAAGGACATATTAATAAGGTTAAAAACAACACTCGTGGGTTTAAAGTCTGCAAAGTTTTTGTTTCGTTTTGCTTAAACACTTCACACTTGGAGTTCGGCGACAGTAAATGATCTTAGAATACAATTAAAGTAAGTGCAAACAGGGGCGAAGGCTGACTTGTTAGACAGGGTAATCAAAGTGGGACAAGGAGCCAGATAGAAATCATGTCACACAAGAATCTTACTCGAGTCGGCAATACTGAGGTGTGAATGAAAACAAATCTAGAATTCATATTATTGTATGATCAACCGCCAAAATAACCCTGAAAGCATCTCATTAAATAGTTTTCAAACTAATACTAAATTTAACTCTTGATGTAAATACACATAAAAAAAGCAGAGATGTCAATACTACAGGTAATACCGGTACTTGGCAATTATCAGTTGTTTTTTTTTTTAATTTCTAATTTGGCTGTTTTTGTTTATCATTTCACGGCCAGGAGCCTGTGTAATAATCGAGGTCACGATCTGATTATTGGAAGGTAAAAAGTCGAGGAAAAAAATAAACAAGCACTCACAGCAGTCATAAGATTATTAGGGGTTAGTTCCCCTCACTCGGAGACAATAAAGTAGAGACGCGTCACTCCTCGATTTAGGCAAGATTGGGGTCAGGCATCCGGTGAAAGTTTCACGCCGTACAACTAATAGTCTGTTCCTCACAACCGAGGAATCACCTTATTGTTTTCCTAGTAAATTAAGCAAGAGGGTTTGTCTGAATGGGTTTTTAACACCATTTCTCTTTCCTTACCGTCACTTCATACCCTCATCCACACATAAAAGGTGGAGTCTGAACATTATAGTAATTCTAGTCAATATTTTGATTAAAATGTCAAAATTTAACTTATTGCCTGTTTCCTTTCGGTCAGTATAATTATTGACCTGTCTTGGTCACGTCCCCTCTCCTTATTCTTGGCCCGCATCTCATTGCATTAGTGCGCACAGTACGCCAAATCTTTTCTATTCTTCTTCTACTCCTTTTTCTTTGTCTTCTTCTTCTTCTTCTTCTTCTTCTTCTTCTTCTTCTTCTTCTTCTTCTTCTTTTTGGGTGGTTGGCGTGTGCTCTGGTGTGGTTTACTCCTTCTTTCCTATCCAAGCACCTAAGGTCCCTATCTCTCCTCCTCCTCCTGTTTTATGTATGTAACTCTCTTGTAACGCATCTATTCTTCGACACTTATATGACCTTATTGTTGCAACGCAGCATCGGCAAGTGCCGTAAAACTCTTACTAAAACTATTTTAAAAAACCCTCTGCTTCCTCTTCCTTCACTGGAGCATAAATTTGATGAATTGATTAATTATGCACACATTTATTGACCAACTTCACCACATACTGCTACTTCCGACGTATTGACTGAGATGGCTCCTCGCTCCTCCCTCTGTCCCTATAGGAAATAACAAGGGGAAGTGACTTTGAGAGGAACAGACTGTGAAATGTACGGCGTGACATAGTTTTGAGGCACTGCGTCACCGATCTCGCGTAAATAGCATGATGCGAAGAAAGGCCAGCTGACGAGTGAAATATCTCTCACTAGTCATCTCCGCCTCACTTTTGTGAGGTAGACTCAGCCAGTGTAAAAGTTAGCTTCCATAGCCTAATCAGTGCTTGTGACTGCTTAGGCCTGTGACAGTGGCCCGAAAGGGGTGAACAGGGAATTCATGTGGCAAAGAAACAGTTTTGAGTGCTGTGCACATATTCCCTTCAAGTGTTTTGGTAGACTCTTCCAGCCTCACTTTAAGCTTACATAATCAAAACTTATGAATGCTTATGGAGTGGCTCGAAAGGGTTGAGCAGGGTATTTATATATGGCAATGAAACATGTTTTTAATGTAAGACATGCTGTTCATTAAGAAGAGTCGAAAATAACAACGAGGGCCAACCAATCATGAAGAAAGAAATTATCAAAGCACTAAGGAAAATGAAGAATGGGAAAGCTTCACGACCTGGCATCATTGCCACAGAGATGATTAAAGCTTTAGCGGACTTTGGAATCACCACTGGGCACTAGACATATTCCATCAGACTTGTCAAAAATCTATTTTCATAGCTTTACCAAAGAAACCTAATGCAAATGAATGTGAAACTCATCGTACCACCAGTCTCATGATCCACGTAACAAAAATACTACTTAGAATGATTATGATGAGAATACGAAATAAAATTCTCCCAGATATAGCCTAAGAACAGTGTAGATTTATTGAAGGCAAAAGCACTGTAAATGCCATGTCGTCATCAGAACAACAACAGAACGTGTCTGGAAGTTCTTAAAGATGTTAATAAATTATGCTTTTTTAAGAACACCAAGGCATTCGACGAAGTTAGGCATGACAAGATTACCGACATCCTAGAAGTCCTCAGTATTGATGGGAAGGACTTAAGGATTATCAAGAACATGTACTGGGATCAAACCGTTGAAATAAGAATAGAAAACGATATCAGCGAATTCATACAGATTAAATGAGGAGTAAGACAGGGATGTGTACTTTCACCAGACTTATTCTCCCTGTAGATCTATAGTTATAATATTATGAGACACATAGAAGAAATGTCAGGTATCTCGATATGGGGACATAACGTAAACAATCAAAGATATGCAGACGACACAGTCCTAATAGCGGAAGATGAAGAATGCCAACAGGATCTATTAAATGTCATCATACAAGAGAGTGATAACATGGGCCTAAGCCTAAACATCAAGAAAACAGAAACAATGATGGTACGCAGAAAAACTCTAACCCCAACCTGCAGTATCAAATCAATGGTACCACCCTCAAGCAAGTACAACATTTAAAACATTTGGGGACCATTATATCATCAGATGGGAGACGGCACATCGAAATTAAAAGCCGCATTTGCCAAGCAAAAGAAACCTTCCACAAAATGAAACAGATACTTACAAACTTCAATATGTGACTGGAAACATAAAAAAGAGTACTGAAAAGTTACATCGAGCCAATCCTATTTAACAGGTGCGAAGCATGGAAAATCAGTAAACAGCTGGAAAGAACAATTGAGGCAGCAGAGTAGTGGTTCATAAGACGCATGCTGTGTATCCCATGGGCAGCTAGAAAAACAAATGAAGAAGTCTTGGTTGAAGCAAATAGCAGACAGACACCATCGCTGCAACGCAAGACTAAAACAGAGTGAAGTGGAGGTCTATGATCGCCTACGCCAGTCAGCAAGGCACCGGATGATGACGATGATGATGAAACTGTTTATTGGTGATTGTGAACGTCTGTTTTATTTAATTTATAAGGTCTGCGTCTATGGGTGAATTGAAATTTGACTGCGACGATGTTCTGAAATTAGGAAGAGAAGCAGCTATTTTTTTTATCAAACAGTGGCGTCCAAAAGAAACATGAACATACAATCACCCAATCATCGTGTTAAAGCCTCGCACTGCCTCTCATGCAGCATACCGATTTAAAGCTAAATAAATTCTGCTTTATCTGATACTTCAATATTTCATCTATGCTAAAACGCCTGGGATATGGTCACTTAAATATGACCTTACAAAATCAGACCTGGCAAAGTTGTGCGAAATCAAAGAAACGTAAACGTGTACGTGTTCGCACGTGTATTGATGAGCATCAGTAATTGATAGAATAGACATCCATTGAAAATTCAATTAAAATGTTCTACCTACTATCTCCATTTTTCTTCTGGGTTCTCACAGTCCCACCCAGGGCGGTTTGATGCCTAGAAATAAAGTTAAAGCAGTCCGTCTCCAAGTATATCTTGTTTGAGTCGTAGATTTTGAGTTTTCAGCAAGAGTTTTACGGCACTTTCACCACAATTAGGTCACAATAGTGCTGATAAGATTAGAGGTGATACAAGAGAGTAGCTCACACAAAAACGGTAAGGAGGAGAGATAAGGATGATAGATATTTGACAGAAAAGAAGGAGCAAACCACACCAGAGTACCCGCCAACCAATCACTTGAGTCGTTGGGGGCGCAAGAAAATCGTCATTTACGATCAAGTCAAGTGTGTAAATGTGTAATAAGCAAGGGAAATTATCAGGACCAGTGAAAGAGGGTGTTGAACAGATGACACAGGCTGTCTCAAGAAGATCAATACATCGGTTCGCTAGCAGCCCAGCGCAGTCAGTATTTATTCGAGTCAGTATTTATTGGAAATACTTTGGTATATTTTCTTAGTTGGCTTATATGGAAAAGCTAACCAATATTGAAAGTATGTTGGGGGGTTGCAACTTTCGTGATGGACCTGCATTATGCGTAGCAGTTATTCTTCTTTTGCCAGATCTGGAATAGTCATCATGGAAGGCTCTCAAAAAAAGCCATTTTGTCCTGGTCTTTTTCAGTCACCTATTTGTTTAAGCTATGCGTTGTCTTCCTTTGCCTCTTTTGCCTTCTTCTTTTTTCAAGTGAGAGAAATATTTACATAGACTTATGTTGATTCAAATGTAGTAAGTTTGTCTTTTCGTTAATGTTTTCATATGTGAATATCCTACACTGGCTTCTGTAAGCATTGCCTAATTCAATTGCGTTTATATTTCCTTTGAACCCCCCACCCCCCAAACACACACAAAATAGCAAACAAGCATAAAACCAAACAAAAACAAAGCAAAACAATAACACAACATCAACAACAAACAAACTAACAAATAAACAAACAAAAACCAGAAATTGAATTGATTATAGTTTGTTTTGTTTCGTGCATTTTGGGGGTGTATTTTGTTTTGTTTTCTTTTTTAAAAATGGCATTCGTAGAAGCAGATCACTCCTGAATGCCGTTACTATCAACTTGGAAAAACATATAAAATCAAAGTGAGAAGAAGATATTTTCACTAACTCTACATCCCTATACTCCACAAAGAAGCCCCAAAACATACACATACACATTCACACCCCGCCCCTGACAAATGGGTGAAAACATTATGATCAAGAAAAGTGATCCTATTGTGTTTTTTCCAGTCATGTTGACCTCTAGGTGAACCTTACCTTAATTCCAGGAATGATGCCTTTTTGCTCCAAAATCTGGAGAAAAGGGGTGCCATTCTTATCTTTTTGTTTCGTTGTCTCGTCGAAAAGTATGACACCGGAGATATTTTGGCTCAAGGAATCGTCCGTGGAAAACAGAAGCTCACGATATTTTCTCCTGTTGTCCTCTGGTTGGGGAGAGAGAGAGAGAGAGCCCGGAGAGGGTGTGTGGGAGAGAGGGAGAGAGAGAGAGAGAGAGAG